TTCCTGCTGACCCGCTCTCCCGATCTCATTTAGATCATTTTTTCTCACACTTGTAAGCTTTAAGATGTGTGATCTTCAACTCCCAGAATTCCCTAGCCAGCCTGGCTGGCTGGGGAATTCTGGGAGTTGAAGTTCACACATCTTAAAGCTGACAAGTGTGAGAAACACTGATCTAAATGTTACAAGCACTGATGAAATTAAATTATGAAGATATTTCCTGCCTCTCACTCTCTCACTCTCTGACTGACACAGCACAATATACATAGGGAAAAGGAGGGAAGGGGGGGAAGCATCTTTAGGGGGCTGATGAGTAGGACCATGTTCCTTTCTCCATTGCAATGAATCTCTTCTTAGGTGGCAAGGCAGAGGATCCTCCTTTTGCCCATGGTTTCTACCCTTTGAGCATTATTGTCCACCTCTGTCTGTCCCTTCCTTTCACACCAGGCACTTCTTAACATTCTATTTTAACTAAAAATGTCATAGAATTTAATAGCCCAAAGGCATATACAGTCCTTGATAGGCATTGATGTGTTAAACTTTCTAGGAGAGTAGGAAGGCCATCCATCCACAGCCGATCACTGATGGGGCGGGGGGAGCTATAATCAACATGCATCTGTTTCAGGAACATGATGCGATGGCAGGCTAAGCCGTACTCCATTAGGTCCTCTGTTTTACAGCCGACTTCATCGCTACACTTTCACATTAAAAATCACAGCCTCAATTCCAGAAGAGGCAGCGGCAGGTGCTTTAATCTCATTGCCTTAATACAGTAAAACCTTCCCTGCCGGTGGTCTACAAAGGATTCAGTGGCCATTAACTGTTTTTGTTGTAAGAAAAAGAACGATTACCCTCTGCTTCACCCTGCACACACTTTAATTCAGTGTTTCTCAACCATGGGAACTTGAAGACGTGTGGACTTCAACTCCCATGCTGGCTGGGGAATTCTGGGAGTTGAAGTCCACATGTCTTAAAGTCCCCACGGCTGAGAAACACTGATGATTTTAAAGATAAACAATGAGTTTCAGGACTGTCCTTGTTTAAGATGGTTGATGCTTTAATTAAAATAGTACTTTGCGTGGATAGTAATAGGAAGCCAGTAAAGGCTGCCACGTCCTCCTGCTTTTCATGAGCCTGGGAAGTTGTCATCTCATTAATAAAAAAGAAATCCCTAAAGTTTTTTTTTACCCCCAGCTTATGGTATAAAACCCTAGACTGCCTGTATTATTGGAAAATGGCACGTTTGCTTCCTACAACTCAACAGATGCTTTTTCAGCATGAACATAATTCCTTTCTGGGTTCATGAGGGTCCTTTTTTCTCCTTCCAAAACCAAAACCCAAAACCTCACCTTTCTCAGATTTACTTCAGGTCTCAAGCGATGGACAGAAGCAAATTAGACCAAAAATGTAGGAGACTTAGGTTTTATTGTACACCGCCCAGAGTCAGTTTGGAGTCAGGCGGTGCCTAAATTGAATACATTAAATTAAATTAAATTAAATTAAATTAAATTAAATTAAATTAAATTAAATTCCTTACGTAGCCACCGAATGGCTGGTTTCACAAAACTCACCAAATCAAAGCTAAGCACTTTCTGTTTCAACCCTCCCATTGCCTCTCACAGAAGTTATCTGACAAGGGAGTTATGAAGATCCAGGATGGTTGGGATAACCATGAATACATTTTGAGCTCTTTGACAAGTTATAATATATAAAAGGAACACATTAATTAAAAACAGTAAAGCAGAGACTGTTTTTCTTGAGGTGGGGGGAGAGAGAGAGAGAGATAGGTACCTCCTAAGAGAAAAGAAACTGGGCCTGTTGAGAAGAAAGGTGGCAAAGAAGAGGGTGGGGGGAGAGAGAGACGCACCTATTCAACCCACCCTTTGCCAATTCTGCAAATAGAAAATGATGCTTGCTTCTTTTGATAATGAAGCATGTCTTGATATCTGGCTGTAAATTAGCAATTACATGGGTGAATACATGTTTTCTTCTATGGACTCCTTAGTGCTCCCTGAGCTTGGTTGTCTGCTTGCAGACATTTCATTACCTGACTAGGTAATAACATCAATACCTAGTGAATGTGGGGTTTTCTCCCTGTTTATATG